CTACTATATATACAGGGATATTAGTGAGCATAATTTCACAGAATTGAAAAATCAAGAGTATCCCTCTAACTGCTCTTGTCTAACAAGATTAGATTATATTTCAATTCGACTATAGGTGTTTGTGTAACTTAAAATTATCTAAAAGATGTGGGTCTTACTGTAATGTACAATTAAACACTAATCATATGTTCAAAGCATCTTCTTCTAAGACAAACTGAAATGTTGAACTCTCTAAAAGAACTACATTTTTGTAAAGAGATTATTTGTTCTCTTGTTTTCAGTTCCTGTACATTTGGACAGTTTTCTTAGAAACTTATTGCAAAAATGATTTCATGAAGACAAAATATAAAGCTAAAATGGGTTGTACAAATCAGTAGATCATGATCTGTTGAGCAAACAGGAATGTAAATGTTGGATTGGCAGAAACGTCATTTCTGACCTCAGCAGGTTCATTGAAATCAAAGTATTGATTTTAAGCTCGTTACTGATTTACAGGTGGGTGACGAGATCGTGCGAATCAATGGCTACTCCATCTCCTCCTGCATCCACGAAGAGGTCATCAGCCTCATCAAGACCAAGAAGATTGTGTCACTCAAAGTTCGCCGTATGTTGACTTTTTTTTGTCATCAGTACCAGAAAGAATATTTAATACTTCACTATATCTGTGATTTGTTATTCATTTGTCTTTTATGCAGATGTGGGGATGATCCCAGTAAAAAGGTCAGGTTTATTAATTCTTTTCTTTGCCCTGCATGTCCAAAAACAGCTGCTTATATTGTGTGTTTTTGTTCACTGCAGCTCATCTGATGAACCCTTGAAGTGGCAGTTTGTGGACCAGTTTGTATCTGAGTCCGGGGTAACAGGCTCCATTTTTTTTTCAGGCTGTAACCGACTCAAAGACTCCTGGTTTTTACTCAGTTGTTTTGTTTGTACTGCTTTAGGAGAAGAGAAGCAGTGTGGCCGGCTTGGCATCTATTGGTGGGAAGGAGATCAAGGAGAAGAAGGTTTTCCTCAGTCTTGTGGGAACTAAAGGTATGGGCATCAGCATCTCAAGCGGCCCAACCCAGAAACCTGGGATCTACATCAGCAACGTCAAGCCAGGCTCCCTCTCTGCTGAAGTTGGACTTGAGGTGATTTCTCCAACAAGACTCTATGATGTCTCCGATAAAGGAGAGTAAAATAAGCTATCAATAATTCTCTCTTAGTGTGTATATTGTCTTAATACTATTACAATTAACTGTAATTACTGTAAAAAAGTGTGCTGTAAATTGCTCTACTTTCAAAAAGCATAATTTTAATTGATGTAATCTACAAGTAGAGGAAAGATCTGTGAGTTATTAAATGATACATCACTCTAAGAATAATTAAATTTCTTGGCTAACAAGGTTTTAATTTCTACGGAGCCCTAGGGGACATGGAAAGCTTCTTTTCCTTTTGAGTTGCCTCACAAAAGCATTGTGTTCTCTCGCAATAATGTACTGATTTTTATTTGTAAAGATGTTTTTGAATATCATTCTTTTCCTTTCCTCTTTTCTTTTTTCTCTCACTATTTTGTTGCTAATCATTGGTAATCTATCACATAGAATCCCAGCACAAACAATAAAAATAGCATGTTTTTGTTATAATGAGACACATGTGAAAACAGGGTGAAGAGTTTTAGCTTAAAGAAATATGCCTGCATTAGCTTTGTGTAAAGACATCCTAATACTTATAGTTTATGGTTTTTATTTTAATTTTTCCAAAGTGTTACCCCTCTCATGCAGTCAATGCTTGCCTTATCCACTGTAGGCTGGAGACCAGATTGTGGAGGTGAATGGAGTGGATTTCACCACTCTGGACCACAAAGAGGTGATTTTGTTCATGACAACATCTGTCATTATTTTATATAGCGATACACACACAATACATATACCTGCAACTGATTATAAATCATAAAGTAAAGACTGGCTAAGAGACAGTCTAAGAAATTTGAATTCTGACTTTTGTGTTTCTTTTAAATCTCATTTCTAAGGCTGTGAAAGTCCTGAAGAGCAGCAGAAGTCTCACTATCACGGTTCTGACAGGAGCTGTAAGTACACACTGCGTTGTCCAATGACTGCTTAAACCTTTTAGAGTACAATGTTTTGTACTTTGTCTTATATTAAAACTCATTCATTAAATTATAATGGAATGTACATAATTATGGCATTAACTAAATCTAAAGTATAAAATGTATTTTGTTTAAAGGGATTCACAAAGACTCCCTATTTATCTTTAATTTGATATAAATCAAATAAAATTGAATAAATCTCAATGTTCTTGATCAAATTTAAAATTCTGCGACAACAATAAAACAAATTGCTGCTAAGCAACTAGTACAGTAGTATTTATCTTTATTTGAGGAGTGAAAATCCTGCAACTGGGATGAAACTTGAATTGTTTGCAGGCCCCTGTGGTTCACTTGACAGACCATCTGTCATGACTGCAAGACCACAAACATCATTTTCTTTCTTCTATGCATCACTCTGAGTAATGTGCATCAACATAACCTTTCCATAATATACGGCTTAGAAAAATGTCTGGAGGAGCAACATTTATCCTGCGTAAAGTCAATTGTTTGCTCTTGCAGTCGGTGAGGGGGACTGTGTAAGTGAGACAAGCAGTCATGTCTTATTATTGTCTTCCTTGGTGCCTGTCTGATGTGTTTATCGGTGAGTTTGTCTTGATTTGGATGTTGCATCCTCCATCAGCGGCTATTGAAAAAATGGGCTGTGTTCCAAAATCAGACGGTTTCTGCTTGTGTGCCACGCTTTGTGGCTTTTCTGAAACAGTGTTTATTGCATATCTGCAGAGGGAAACCTGCAACAATAATTATATGCGGTAGACAGAACATTCATTGGAAAATGTGCTTTCTGAATCCTCTCTACAATGACATAAAGGCAAAGTTTCAGTCATGACTGAGTTGTCAGCTAGTTTAAATCCAACCTTTATTGTGCTAACATACCACAAGTGCTGTTTTGTTAAGAAAAATATTAAGTGAAAATGAACATATCCTTGTTCCTTTTGGAGAATATAACTTTTTACCGACATGATGTCTATTTCTGTGGCTTAAAGCTTTCTGTTAGCACAAAGCTGAGAAGGAAAGACATCCCTAATGACCTGAGAGAAGCATTTCCTCACCAAGACGTTCTCTGTACCCGACTGAACAATTGCTGCAAATAGAGGCACACTCTGATTTTTGTCTATGGCCGGTTTTTACTCTCTTAGGGAAGCGAGCTGTTTATGACAGATGAGGAGCGCCTTGCAACCGAAGCCCGCCGGGAGGTGGAGAGGCAGGAACTGATGCATCAAAAGAAGGTTGCAATGGAAACCAACAAAATCCTTAAAGAGCAGCAGGAGAAGGAGAGACAGTGAGTGAACTGCACAACCTTTAATTAGCTTCGCCCAGACACAGATAAATGTTCTGTTTTTTCAAACAAAGGAAGCTGTCCCACAGGCATTTGCTACATGACTATTTGAAATTTTGCAGTAGCTGAATTTTCTTTCAGTTTACAAAAAAGGATTACTCTCCTTTCCCCCCTGTGTTTTATGTTTTAAAATGACAAATTGCATCTGTAAACATCATGTTCCCTGTATTTATACTCCTGATGTCTGAACATAGTTTCATGTTGGGGTTTTGATGTTTCTGCTGCCTTTTATAGGAGAAAGAGGGAGATCTCCCAGAAAGTAGCGGAGGAAGAGGAGCGCTATAAGAGCGAGATGGAAAAGTACCAAATTGTCCATATTGAGTGCATTAAAAATATCTTTGTTGAGCTTTAAGTTAATAAAATATCTTCTATAGGATTGAAGCTGCAGAAAGGAAGCACAACAGAGAGTGGGAGGAGGACTGGGGATCCAAAGACAGACCAAAGAGTCCCCGCCCTTCAAAGAGCCCCTCACCGGAGATGAAACCTTCAAAGGCCAAGAGTTCACGTATGATCAAAAGTTTAAAATGCATGAATCCTCTGTTCCAAACTTTCCTCCTCTTGTTTCTGTTTCACTCCAAATGTTCTTTTCCTGCATGTTTTCGTTTGTGTCTGCTGGTTGCTGTGCTGTTTTCCACGGCCTCTTCTCCTAGTTGCTGGAGCCAGCTCCTTCATAGAGGAAGAGGAGGAAGATGAGCAAGACAGCCAAGTGAGTTTGGAGTTTCAGGTGTCATTTATGCCAGCTGTGCTAATTGACACACAAAAGTCTCAGATTTCCTTTGACAACAATTATGTCACCATGAGAGCAGACTTGGAAAATTTCTTCCCATTATTCCCTATTTGCAATCAAAGATTTTACGAAGCTTTACCCTGCCAATAATTTCCTGCCAAGTTCTGCAGAATTATAATTAACAAAATATATTTTTTAAAGTTTCTGGTTGAATAGAATATAACATTTTTCTAGAAATAAGATTAAAATTTTTCTAAAACAGCCCAAAGTTACAAAATCCACTCTTTCCACATGACTGGAAAGCTACAAATACAGTGCGTTATTAGTCAGAGGTTTTAATAAATGACCTAAAATTAAATAAATACCACGTGTCTCCTTTGCTTGTTTTTAAGACGTATTAAACAGTAGCTCAATTTGATTGTTTTGTAACATAAATAAAGATGTAATGAGCATCACATTATGGTAATTACAACTCAGATTTCTCTGTGCATTTCTACAGACAGGTCATTCCAATTCCTAGTTTGAATGCAGCTCTTATCGTAAATTGAAATATAGTTTTTATCTTTAATTAAAAATGCTACTTCCCAGCCAGACACTGACTCTTGAGTGCTGTGTTGTGTGAGGTTTTACATTTCAAGAAAGAAAAAAAAATTATCAACTGTATGGATTCTACTTGAGTGTAAACTAAGTTTGTGATTAAATTTTTCATGAAGAGTTTGTTCATCTCTATCCTTAGCATTTGGCTGGTTTTATCGATATGAGGGGAAGCTGCCTTCACTGCGAAAGGTACAGTCAGCTGGTGTGTTGTGTGAAGTGGATCTGAACAGTTTGCCTTGAAATCTGACATTTAACTCAAATGGTTGGAAATGAGCAATTATTGTTTTCTCAGATTTTCTTGTGTTGGTGTGTGTTTGTGTTACTTAGTTGGTAGTGGCTGTGTTTTATTTTCATTTTTTACATTTTGCGCTACCCATCTGGTGATGCCTCAGAAAGGAGAAAAGAAGAAGAAGAGAAAGAAAATGTCCAACACAGACACACTGCAGGAGCAACGAAAGAACAAGAAGGAGATGGAGTTTGAGCTCAAACTTGCCAGAGAGAAGGAAGAAATGCAAGAACGGGAAAAACAACTGAAGATCAATCGGCTGGTTCAGGAGGTACGAAAAGATGTAGTCTGAGCTCAGAGGAATAAATTTAATCAAAGCATCCCCTTTTTCAACACACGTTGCTTCCAAGAAGTTGGCCTTGTAATCTTTTAAAGTAATCTTGACCGCAGGTTTGCAGTTTTCTGCCTTGTCTAACCACACATAGACAAATTGACGGTGAAATTAATTTTCCCCAGCAAACAAACACTAGTTAAAAATCAGTATCACCTCTGAAAGACTGCAACGTTTTGTCAAAGCTTGAATCGAGGAGTAACAATGTGCTTTTCATGCTGGCAGTGGGTCATGCTGCCTGAGGAGGTTGTGGGAGTTTTGTTGTTCAGTTGACATATGTTTTTTGTTTGAGCCAACACCTGGAGCTGTTTTCAGCCAAGTATGAAGCAACTGAAGCAAGAGTTTCAGCTGTTTCTAGATCTGAAACAAATACTCTCAAATTAAAAAGGCTTAAAGGTTCTCATCAGATTAGGAATTAGTGTCTGCATTTGGCAAATCAGTTCAAATGTCTAAAAGTCATGATCGTAGGTGATAGTGGGATGGAGCAGGAGATTGATTAGAGCTGATCTGTGGGTGCTGTTCTGGTTTGTCAAGTGGAAGAAAGACCTTTAAAGTTTGAAGAGCCTGAAAGCAAACCTCTAATTTACTGTTCCACTATTTCCAGGGAAGCCTTGTGTCATGTCATGGGTGACAGTATGTGTGAAGTTTTTTTTCTCTTGTTTGTGATTCTGGCTGGCTGTAACTCCATCCCAGGTCTCAGAGACTGAAAGGGAAGACCTGGAGGAGTCTGAGAAAGTGCAGCACTGGGTGGAGCGACTATGTCAGACTCGGTTGGAGCAGATTTCTTGTGTGGAGAATGAATCCCCAGAGGTACAAAGTCTTCAGTTCGAGCCTTCCTATGTTCAGAGCTTTTCAACAGTTGTAGTTTGTTTCTAACATGAATGATTTTATGGAAGATTTTACATGGGTGGTGAAGTATTTCTTATTTGTTTGTGGCTTGAAGCTCTCCCCACCTCGTTCTCCTGGCTCAGAGCCAAGGGTGAAGCATTTTCCTGGTGGTTTCAACCTTGCAACCACTGATCTGGACGACATTAACCTGGATGAAGTGGACCAGAGCCTGAGGGGACCTCTTAAAAAACTAGTCCCGACTCAGCCCACCTCAAACCAACCTCCACCTCCCTTGCCTCGCCCCCCACCCTCACCCAAACTAAATCCTACAATCCCTAAGTACTCCCCGCCCTTATCTCGAGTTTCCCCACAGCGCCGGCCTCCTTCTTCCCCCAGTCCGAGGAAGCCTCCATCCACTTTGACAAACAGGGAGCGCAAGCCTCGCGCACATCCCCAACACACACAACCAGGCCGCCCGTCTCCCTCCAACTACCCTCTGCCATCTCAAACGTCACGCCCCCCATCTTCCCCCCAACCCACGCCACATCCCCGTCCTCCACCTCCCCCTCCTCCTCCACCACCTCCTCCTCCCCCTCCTCCCCCTCAGCACTCTGAAGAACGTGACTACCGGAAGCATCACCACCACTTCCAACGTCCTCCCAGCCTTCCCGAACACAGGAGTGAGTGGGAAACAGGTGGCTACCTCCCCAGAGGGGGGATTTATGCATCCAGCACCAGTGAAATGTCTCAGCCCTCAAGTCCAAAGGTTTGACTTCTTCATACTTCATGACAGAAGTATGACGAGTGTGAATTGCCTTTTCATTGTGATTTGTCTTTCAAATCACGAGTGTTTCTGTGTAACGAGCGTTTGTGCTCTTATGAACCTCTCTACAACTTTCATTGGTAGACTGAACTGGATAGATGGTTGCTGATGCTTAGCTGTGTCTGTGTGGTTTTTATAGAACATAGTGAGCAGGATACTGCATGGTGTGTGACGTGTGATGATATTTAAACAAAAGCCTGTATGTGCTACTGTTTTGAGCACCCCGGAGTGGATGTCTTTCTGAATGTTTTACTGTCAGATACATTGGCTATTAAATTTGTAGACATGCATGTGAAAGTGGTAGGTTTTTGTGAAGTAAAACCCGTCGAGCCGGGGTCTCAAACTGCATTCCTCAAGGGCCGGTGTGCTGCCACTTTAGATGTTGCTCTGCTTCAGCACACCTGGCTCTAATACAAGTTCACTAACTAGTTTTGTAGAGCTTAACTGCATGATAGTGAGGCAGTTTAGCCATTTAATTCAAGTGTGTAGAACAATGGACAGGTCTAAAGGTTACAGGACTCTGGCCCTCGAGGATTGCAAGTTGAGATGTTGTTGTAACAAAATGGGCTTCAAAAAGTTTTATTTTAAGGGACTCCAAACCAATGTATCAAGGTTTTCATATTTTTCTTGCATTTTTTTCTCCTTAATGTATTTTCTATTGAATTGTAGAAAGTACAATTCAAAGTGTATACTTCACTTTGAAGGTGGGATAAGTTTTGAAATGGTGTCATTCATGGAGATAGGAAAAAACTGAAATATTAGCAAGAGTGTGAGTTCTTTTTTCTGCTGTGCACTTGGAGTTTGTGATGTATTAAAATATGAGAAGTGCTTTGGGTGTTTGACATTTCTAGCTTGAGCCGGACAACTGACGGATTCCTTGTATTCTAGGTGATGAGAAACACCTCCCATGTCAGTCATATTTCCAGTTCAAGCAGTCAGCTGGTAAGCCTCCCTCCTTGTGAAAACTCACATCTACCTTGTGCTGCATTTGGAGTCGGCTGAGTTTTGTAAATGTTTTGCTTGGATATGTGATCCAATAGCAGCTGGCTCCCAGTCCCCCTAACCAGAGGCGACAAACGGCTCCCGTCATGTCAAAGCCCGTCATGCTGCCGCAGTCGCAGGCTAACCGGCCAGATCCGCTCCGACCTGCTGTCCGTTCTGATGGCCTGGTATGAAGCTTATTAGGGTCATCTGGCACAGTGTGCCATCAGCTGCAGCAGCCATCAATGTCTGCCTCCTTTTAAGAGCCCTAGGAAGTTTTCCAGATTTCCTGTTATTTTTATTTCAAACAGGCCAAATATTCTAGTATTTTTCTTCAAAACCTTAATTAAAACAGGCAAAGTAAGTTGTGTTCACGGCATGTTGGATAAGCTGGTTCTAATCATCCTTCCTGATTAGAAATGAAACCTTAAACAGCCACTTTGCCATCTGAGCCATTAGCACCACCACAGGCCTCTACCTCCGCAGCGAGAGATAAAACGACACGTATACAGATCACTTCTAATTATAGCTGCTGCAGGTAGAAAAGGAAATGTATTCTCCTGCTCTCTCTGGGGATCGTCAGTGTTGTGAAAGTCATTCCTCAGTCACATGGAGGTGCTTACTATTTCGATTTACATTTTGACTGGATCTGGTCAAAAAATGTGGAACATGAAGCTGTAATTCCTTCATCTCTTTTATAGTTAAATATCTTAATACATGGAAGAATATCAGCCATCTTGGTCAAATATTTGTAAATTATTTTATGACAAATCTAATACAGCTGTTTAGACAGACATGTTGGAGGAAATTTATTTTGCCACATTTGTTACTCTGGGCTGTTTTTACTGGAACAGCAAAGTGTTATTGTTTCTGTGGACATATTTGATGCGTTGTAGTAAGTTGTCACACTTCAATAAAAGTTCAAAGTTCCCACAAAGCCTGGAAACTGTTGAAGCATCAAACTGAAGAATGTATTTTTCTTTTATTCCTGCAATCTCACGGAAAACGTTGAACCGTTGTTGTGCTTCAGCCTCCAGAAATGCTTAAACGGATGGTGCCTTTCAACTCGTCTTTCAAATCAAACAACAAACAAGTAAACATTTCTTCCTGTACTTTCCCTGTTATGCTTGAGTGCGGCCTTCCTTTTCTAGTTTGACCTTTTCGTCTCCCTGACTGGACCCTTCGTGATGGCTTTTGCATGTTTTTTTCCTGTTTTCTCTCTGCAGCAGTTGTACCCCTGCTTTTTTGATGAAGTGCTTCATGCATGAATGCATTTTTATTGATTGGGAGAAAACTGTAGAGGCCTTGAACATGTTGTTTAGTATGGGAATGCATGTCATGTGGCTGCTGTGTCACTAGGGAGATTAATAATGTTTTTCTTGCAAAAGATGGTCTTACCTCCTGAATTCACTACTAAAAATGCTGATTGAAAACTGTGAGTGTCTGTAAACCTGTCGTCAGAAGTCAGCTCTTTATGCATTACAACGGGACAGGAATTGCTTTTTTCCTATGGGTTTCATTAAATTTATATGATATTGCACATGCAGGAGGAGGCATGCTAACTCAAGTCATTTATACTCATAATAAATAAGAACAAAGGCATATATGGTGTTATTTTTACATCATAGAGCATTTGTGCAGCAACTGGAAATGAATTGCTAGATTAATGTTTTTTTTTTTTTTGTACTGGAAACTCTGGACTGAATAAATGTGATTTACTCACCCTGAGAGCTTGGTTCTGTTTCCTTCTTCCTCCTGTAAAATGAAATTGCTGCAGACTTGAAGCGGATCTGTGTTATTTCCTTCTGTGGTTGAACGGTGAATCAGTCTTGATAAAATGTGTCAGATTATTTTCAATTTGTGAGAAACTTTGAGGTTTTTCAGTGTTGAGGCTTATCTTCAGACCTTTACACTGAACTGGTTGTTGTCAAAGGAAATCTGACCTCTTGTCACACAACTCGTCTTCACTAAATGTTGTCTTCATTCGCTCTTTGTGTATTCACTGTAAATTAATTACATATTGATATTTTTGTTTCAGGTATTTCAGAAATATGTGGACGACTTTGATCCTTACTCCATGGTATTGTATTCTTGGGCTACAGAAAAGGAGATTCAGTTCTTTTATGCATAAGTCATGCATAGAAACATTTATCTTATTATTTTTTTACTCATCAACTAATGTGTTTAAAGACCTGTTTAAACAGATTAAAGAGCTGTCTTTGTTCCATGTGTAGTCTCACGGGAGATAGTCTCACGGGAGATAGACTCAAACTATACAAAAAATACAAAGACTGACTTTTGGTCGACACTGAATTTTTTTCATTAGTAAAATAAGTTAAGATATTGACTCGTCCCAGTCAATATCTTAACTGGCAACATTCAATATCTCTTAGCAGAATCCCACGTCCTCTGAAGTGTTACAGGAGAGATAAAATGCACCGTATGTGTAATTATTCTTGACCAGCACTCCTCTATTTTAAAGCTACTAAAATCTATACTCATGATTTCCTCTTGCTGGTTAAGCTCATTTGGAACAGGTTACCATTTATCATGCCGTCAAATCTTATTTTGTCATTTACATTTAGCTACAATCGAAGTGATTTTTTTCCCCTCCTTCCCTGTTTTCTTGATCTTGAATAGTTCTCCTCAGACCAGATAGATGGGCGAGATGTGAGATTGCTAAAAATCAAAAAGGTAAATTTTTTCATAGTTAAAACACAAGGACTGATTCTTTTCCAAATTCTGAAATCTGGCTGATGATTTCTTAATTTTGTTTTGTTTTTAAGGCCGGACAACTTGACATTGCTCTGGAAGGGGGAGTTGACTCTCCTCTCGGAAAGTTGGTGGTGTCTTCAGTGTATGAGGGCGGTGCAGCCGACAAGCACGGTCAGCCGAATTCTTCATTCCATGATTTAACTATACTGCAACCGTGTAGGGAGTTTGAAATATTACTGTTTGGAGCAGATTTGTTGCAAATTTGTTAAATTAATGATTTAAAATCATTAATTTTTTTCAAACTCACAGAGAATCAAAACAATAATTCATTCTGTCTGTTCCTTTTTTTTTTTTAACTAATTAAAAACTTTTTGCTTTATATCCACTTTCAGTCTATTTTTATGTTTTAACATGTCATTAAATATTTTAGACCTGGTATGTTTTTATTCAACAGTTAGTTCCTGCACTGACTAAGTTGTGCACGTCTGATAATTTTAGGAAGGCCTTAATGCTGATTATTTTTGCTTCTTAAATGTCTGTGATGTTTCTTTGTGTGTGTGCGTTTGCAGGAGGGATTGTCTCTGGTGACGAACTCATGGCTGTCAATGGGAAAATCCTGATTGATGCTACTTTAGAAGAGGGACAAAACTCTCTGGCTCGGGCCTGGAACAGTGGAGGGGTATGAGACCACTTAGAGATTAGAAGACATACTCTGGATTTTAACAATATACACAGTTTAATAGATCATATGTTATACATTCAGCTGAGGTTCTTACTTTGTATTGATTTAATCAAAGAGATTTAAATTCATTTCACTCCTCAGGACTGGATCGATGTTGTGATTGCCGTGTCCCCTCCAAAGGATTATGAAGATGAAGTGTAAGATTTATTTTTGTTATATTCCAATACGCTTACTTGCATTTTATGTGCTAAGCTATGAATCTTTTGAAATATGACAAAGTGGTTCAGTAGTTTACAGATGGCGGCTCGTGTTTTTGTGTGTATGCATGTGTATGCAGCCCTAAGTCAGCATCAGTCAGTCCCTCTGTGAACAGAAAGGTGTTTGAAGGCAGTGCAACACTTTACAGACATGGCTATCAGCTTCAGCACTAGCCCCACCTCTCTTCCTTCCTCACCCTTGTTCTGGTAATTAACTTAGCCTTCAGCCCTCATCCTCTCTGCTGCACGTCAGAGAGGAGGTTTGGTGTGGTGGTTGTTTTTGTTTTTGTTTTTCCTCTTGGGGACATGTGACAGACTCTGATAACTTGAATACTTAAGACGGCAAAAGGATTTTAATGTTTGTTTCCTCTCATCCTGTCAGGTTATCTCCTTGTTGCTCAGTCATGACTTTGAATGCACATTGTCAAAACAAGGATTTAAATAGAACACTTTTGCTACTTAAAGACATTGATAATAAGTGACAGATCACTTTGTGTATGTGCTGGATTCAGTGAGCCATAAACATGTTGTTGCATGTTCTCAACTCACAGACACCCCAGACTCCTGCCAGCCTTCAGCTGTTGTTCTGATTGATGTTGTTTCTTGGACTGTTACTCGTCCTAAAATCTGTTCCAACCTTTGAGTCTGAAATGGTTTTTATTGAATTTACTGTCACAAGATTATATTATGTCACTCATCATATTAGTTTTGGGCTTTTGGTGATTCGTTTTAACTTATTGTAGCTTTTCATTAATTACTATTGACGTAAATGTCCTAGAGGAGGTTGCAGACAAAACATCAGTTGTGGTCATCAACAAGCTTCTGGAGTAATTATGACTGACATTTTGACAACTATAAACAATTTAAAATTGTTTTTTCTGTTTTGGGGCATTCCGAAGACGTAATATTATCCTCTTTTAAAATCCTTTTCCACATTGGATTTGATATGCCGTATTAGGTTTTCCTATAAAACTAATGATTGAGGACTCAAGTCATGGCCGAATGGCTCACCTTGACTCCATATTTGGTTTAATCTTTGTTCTCCCCTGAACATAAATCTTCAGAAAACATTTAGTTGTTCCATAAAGAGCATTTGCAATTTTCAACCATGCTTCAAGGTGTAGATTTTCGATTCTTTATTGGTCAGCAGCATCCTATCAGGTTTCATCTGGAACTCTAAGCCTTAAAGTAATTCATATGTGCAAAAACAATGGCTTAAATAAGTCACTAAAAGCTCAAAATGAATATGAAATGCATGATGCCTACATGTAAACTTTTGACAAGACCTGCATGTAATGTGAGAGATGCACCAATTGCAGTTTCTTAGCAGATTCGAGTCTTGATCTGAGATTTTTTCCAAAAAAGCATAAAAACCTCAAAAGTTTTTTTACAACTTCAAAATATATATTACATGAAATACATATTATTCAGACTTGTGTTAAAGGTCCTCAATTCTATTTTTTTTCTCAGCTGAGATGTATTATATTATTCAGTTTAAAAGTAAAATTGCTTCTTTTTTAATTTTTTTTATAAATAGGTCTAAATTTAAAAAAAAAAAATCACAATGTTAAGAAGTATTTTCCTTTGTTATAATTTTTTAAATATTCTGCAGCAGTTTCCACCTTAATTTTATCCAGGATTCAGGAAAACTAAGAATCCTTTACCAGGGCAATTAGTTTACAATCACCAGCTGTTCTTATGCATCTTAAGATAGATGGGCAATGAACGCTGTATATTAGCGAGATGTTAACAAAAGAATATACTCATAGTTTCAATTTTATCATCTTATTTTTCTTTTTTGAACTTATTTTTCTCCATATTTTTTTTTTAAACAATCTGTACTGCACCTTTTCTTTACACCTGTCAGATGTTCACAGTTACTTAGCTGTGATTTATTGAGAGTTGTTGAGTGAGGAAAGGATTATTTTTGAGGACTGTTAAACTGAAAACCATCAGGTCTCCAATAGGACAATTTATGCATCTCTAGATACTTTTTTTTGCATCGGAGTAGTTTGGAAAAAGTCTTGTAACTCATTTGCATAAGTCCATTTCTGTTTGTTGTGGTTACTGTGCAGTGTCTATAATAGGAAAATGACAGACACATGTTTGTCCAGTTCATATTGTCTTCCACTTCAGATGAAAGAAAAGGCTTCTATTGTTTAAATTATTTTATTAACTTTGCTCCTTTTTCCTGCAGGACATTCTTCTAATAGCACCAGCCCTTAAAACCAGATTCATTGAGAGAAACCTCTTCAATGAGAAGACTAAGAGGCTTTTTCTGCTTTTTCTGCCTTATCACACTTTGGGACTGAGCCAAGCTGTCATTTAGACTGACGCCGCACCGTCGATAGACATTTTCACTGTCTTGTTTTATCAATAGATGCTCCAATCATTAATCAGTTTTCTGCCTTATACCTCTTCACTTCTGTAAAGACTGGAAATAACTGACTTCTATTATGCTAACATCAGTCACTTTGCAAATGGAGGAATTTGAATAAATGAACTGAAATCAATAATGCATTCAAAATGTTCTTTTCTTGAGCCCAATAAAGAACTGGTCAGACTAAAAATGAGGTTCTGCTTGAATGTTGATTATATATTTTTTATTTTAAAAAATGGTTTACAGATTTATGTATTTACTCAGTGCTGTAAATATAGTATTTTTAAGTAAAAGTTATGTTTGCATCTGTCCTCTGCAGAAATATGCATATCCAGTATATAACCCACATTTTTGTTTAGATGTCAAAGAGCGTGGGGATCTAAATTTGTATTTTATATACAAGTGATGGAAAATATTGCACTGTCTTTAAGTTTGTGTTTTTTTTTGTACTAGTATATAAAAAATCATCTGGAGTTTTCGTTTGCTACATCAAACCATGACAGATTCTGTGGTGTCATTCCATCTGAAAAGTTGCGTAAATAGTACATTTATAAAGCCCAACTGATTCAATGACTTGACTTATTCTGTATGATATGACCTAAATCAGATGCTGAAGTATCAGCTTAGGCTTAGGGTCTTAAATCTTCAGAAATGTATTGCTTAGTTCTGCTTGGCTGTTTCAGATTAAGGGTATTTTCCATTTTTGACTCTTAATTTGCCAGTTTTATACAGTCCAACACATGCGTAGGGTTTACAAAAACGTAGCAATATAAATATCCCATCTCTGTAAAAAAGTAGGTCTGTTCCCAGCAATTCACCTAATTTCACTCACAGTTTTTGCATGCATTCTGGTGAAATATTTTTAAATTTTATTTTATATTTGGTAAATGATTAGTTCCTGTCTCACTTATTGCTGTTATTTGTCTGGTGAGCTCACTTCTTCACATCAATAAATACAAGCAAATGGCCATTCTGCTGGAGACGATGACGCTGAGATG